ATATATATGCTCAACACAACAAAATCTCCACAACACAACGGAAAAAAGCCACGACACAGCAAAATTAGCACAACGCAACGTGTTATGTACTATGTATTATATTATACATTATATTGTACAACATATGTACTATATATTGTATGTATGTATGTATGTTATATAATATTTAAAACAATTTAAAATAACTGCATTCTATTTCAAATTATTTTCAAATGTAATTTATTCCAGTGATTGTAAAGCAAAATTTTCAGTAGGGCTGTGACGGTCGCCGTGACGACAGTGTCACCGCGGTTTACAAACGCCGGCTGGTCAGGTTTGCTTTGGTGAGGCTTTCTCCAAACTGGCCAAATACAAACGAGACAGCGGTAAATGGAAGATGCTAAAAAGAAATGTGGAAACATACGGCGCGATTCCTATTCCACAGAGAGTGCGTGCAGACCAGGAGTTAACGCACACAGTTGCTTGGTGGCGGAACGTGAGCTGTCTATATTGGACAGTTGTCGCGTCGCAACACAACAGGTTGAGTCTGTCTACAGGACATTTGAACTTTGTGTCAGTATATCATAAATAGGACGAGGCATCAGTTTACTGTCGGGGATTTGTTGTGTCATGTTGCGCCGCATCCGGTGTAGACAACATCACTGATTATAATGGGTTATATAGCCTATTTTGTCGCGCCGCACCGCTTGCATCCGGTGTAGACAGGGTGTATTTAACGTTCTTATTTAAGGCTATTTTCTTATTTAACTGTATTATTTCTTTGATATTTATTTTAGTGTTTTGCAGGCTGCGTGTTCACTGACGGAAGTGCTAAAAAAAACTATTTTTTGTATTTCATAATAGAAATATATATATGTATATGTGTATATATATGTGTGTGTGTGTGTGTGTATAGATTCATATATAATTTTTATATATGTAATTAATATAAATTATATATATAACAACACCACACAACCGACGGTAGTTGGTCCATTACCACCGCGGTGGTAAAAATCTGCGACCGTCACAGCCATAATTTTCAGCATCATTATTCCAGTCTTCAGTGTCACATGATCCTTCAGAAATCATTCTAATATGCTGATTTGCTGATCAAGATGCACTGCCTGTTATTATCAATGTTAAAAACAGCTTAATATTTTTGTGGGAAAACATGATGCTTTTTTTTCCAGGATTCTTTGATAAAAGTTCAAAAGAACAGCATTTATTTAAAGTAGAAATATTTTGTAACATTACAAATGTCTCTAATGTCACTTCTGATCTATTTAAAATTAGTAAAAAAAAATTAAAAACCCTACTAACCCCAAACTTTTCAACGGTAGTATACAAACGGTTTAAATGTTTTTCCCTCCACACTGTATACACGCATCGCTGAGTTTGTTGTTAGCAACCTCTCTTTAGTCATCTAAAACTCCTCAGTCTGAAACCTTTGTCAATGAAGCATCCATGGATGAACTCCTCGCATAGCAAACCAGACAGCCTAACTCTCTCTCTGTCTCTATCTGTCTTTTTTTTCTGTTCCAGTGGGCACCCCATATTACATGTCTCCCGAGCGAATACACGAAAACGGATATAACTTCAAATCTGACATCTGGTCGCTAGGCTGCCTGCTCTATGAGGTAAGGTATAGAAACCCATCCCATCACTCCCCCTCCTCCGTTTATACACCCCAGCCCTCCCTAACTCTCCCATTCTCTTCCCGAGCTCCTTCCAGTGCTGTTCGTCTCCTTTTGTGAGACGCAATCCTACACCTTGCGGTCTGTCGTGAAAGTTACAATATGGTTTTGTACTCCGAGGTAAATGGTCTCCGCGAAGGATACCTGGAGTATGTTCCCAAGCTGATGAGGAAATTTGAATGACATTTACATGTGTTTTAAATAACATCCACTGCTCTTGCTACGAAATGATACTGACTGCTTTGATTAGGCTTTAATAGCATACGCTTCTCCACGACACAGCGGACCAGGATCCGTTAGACTCAGAGCAGTGGTTTTCTCTTCAACTCGCAGTCTAAATTGAAAATGAAGTTGCAAGGAGGTCAGCTGTGTTTTTTTCTAGCTGTGATAAATGTTTAGACCTTAAAGGAATAATTATAGGGATAGTTTAGTCACCCTCATGTCATTCCGAAACCTTTTTCAATGAAACACGAAAGGTCAATTTTTGAAGAACATCCGTGCCTCTCCTTTCAATATAATGAAAGTGAATGTGGACTGGGGCTGCCAAGCTTCAAATGACAAATAAACACCATAAAAGTGGACTATTTGACTCTATTCCAAGTTTTCTGAAGTCACATGGTAAACTTTAGTTAAATTTAAGTTGCTGTACATTAATAATTTTCACCTCCAGTGAGATGTTAGAATTAGGGTAAGCAATGATTGGATCAATGAGTCATTGAGAACCAAATCAGTTGGTTTGTGAATGAGTCATTCACATAGTTTTGTGAACTGGTCCAGTTGATTTTTTTTTTTTTTTAAGATTATTACATTTATTAAAAAGAATGATTCATTCACAAATTAGACATTACTACTTGCTCTCAGAAATAGATCATGAACAGCTACAAAGGTCGGATTTTCAGTGATTAGCTACAGATTTTGGTCTGTTTAGAAGAACGCAAAGCTTCAGAAAACCATATGAACTATTTTTAGGATACTTTATTGTGCTCTTTTGTTATTTTGAAGCTTGGAAGCCAAAATATCTAAGTGCCAGTGGTAAATGGCCAACAGTGAATCAATATGTTTCTTAAGTTACTGTTTTGCCCCCCCCCCCCCCCCCCCCCCCCCCCCCCCCCCTCCAAATTTTTTTTTTTTAGATTTTTGCTAATTCTGACCAGTTTGATTCAATATACAGATCGATTAGATTGAACAATAAATTGATTCAGTATTTTTTAAATGTTTTGTTAGCAGTGATTCTCAATCTTTTTTATTTCAAGGCCTCCCTTTAGTACTTCTGTTGTAATAAAAATAAACTCAAAAATATGTCAGTTTGTTGTATGTATAAAGGTATAGTTCATTCCAAAAATTGCTCATCCTCGTGTCATTCCAAACCTGTATGAGTTTCTTTCTTATGTTGAACATTGAAAAGAAGATATTTTGAAGAATGCTGGTAATCAAACAGTTGGTGGTCCCCATTGACTTATATAGTGTTTCTTTCCCTACTATGGAAGTAAATGGGGACCAACAACTGTTTGGTTCTTCAAAATATCTTCTTTTGTGTTCAACATAAAAAAACTTATACAGATTTGGAATGAAATGAGGATGAGTAAATTATGACAGTTTTCATTTTTGAGTGAACTATCCCTTTAATATAACTACATTTAAATAATTTAAAGACTAATAGGCCCCCCCTGGTTGAAAACCACTGTTTTTATAGGACTCAATAATGTATATTAGACAAGAAAATAAAGGCAAACTATTTCAGACTGTTGAAAGTAACTGGAAAGGAAAACATGGATTCATGAATGCTTCATTCAGAAGTTTCGTTAAATTGAGAAAAAAGAAAAAATAACGACCTGGATATTCTTCAAAAATTCTAATTTTGTGTTCAACGAAAGACAGTTAGTCTTTGAAATGACATGAAGGTGAGTAAGTGATGACAGAATCGTAATTTTCAGGGGAGAACTGTCCCTTTAAGCATCCAACAGTGTGAGATCTTACATAACAGATCTTGAGAAATCGCAGATCCCTGTTCAAAAGTGGGCATTTTGTGTGTTTCTCTGCTTTTTTTGGCCCTGGTTTCCTCTTAACCAGGTGACTTGGGCCACCTGGAATGGGTAGCAGCAATCCGTAAATGACACAATGCTTGATCCCAGGAGACATACTGGCTACCAAAAACTGGTGTATAAACACACGCAAGCAGGCGCAAATTCACACTCGCACAGTGTGGAAATAGACACATTGTTAGTCCGGTACCCGTTCTATCCCTTCAATCCCCAGAGTGTGTGTGTGTGTGTGTGTGTTTTTTTTTTTCTTCCTCCACTTCGTCTTTTGCCTCTTTTTTTGGGGTGAAGCTTACCAGTAGCTACACCTCCCAAAGTGCCTGGGGCTGAAAAACAACCATCTGAGTTTACCGCTGCTTGGAGACAGCATTTCTTGGCACTAATTAGTCTCCCATAATGCACCAGGCCCATCAGTGTGATCAGTCCGCCCTGCTTAGCAGTGGCCATGGGTCAGCCAAGTGCGGGGAGAAGGCAAACGGGGAACAGTTGTGATCTCTTAAGCTTCTGTTAAAGCCAGGTCCGGGCTCGGCCTCGAACAGATCGGCGCTGTCGCCCCTTGGTACACGAAGACTTTCATCTTGTCCCGCTTTCCAGCAGGTCACGTGACCTGGAGGAGGCGGGGAGCTGGAAGGTGATGAATTGACATCTGTTTGAATGACAGATCTGATGATCGGCAAACCCGCCGGCAGTTGCTGTGATGTTACAGGAAAGGAGGACTGTGGACTGTTTTTCTATCGTTACTACAAAGTTTTGAAGTTTTCAGTTGATCATCTCAATGTTTATTACATTTTTTTTTAAACTCTAAAAATCAAAAGACAGCAAAGATTTTATATATATTTATGAGTTAGTTGGTGTGTGGTCAATGGCATGCCCTCAAAAAAACTAATAAAAGTTTAAGAAAAAATAAAATTTTACTTTTTCAAGTTTTTAAAAATTTTTTTTATTTAATTTGTGATTCAGTCTATATGTGGGTCATTGGTGTGTCCTCAATTAAAAAAAAAAATAAATAAATGAAAAAATTTACAATCAAATTACTTTTTCAGTTTTTTAAATATTTTACATATTTGATTTAATTTGTATGACTTCGTATTTTTAATTTTGTAAACAAAAATACTATATGTATATATATATATACACATACATACATACATACATACATATACATACATACATACATACATACACACGTTTACAAAATTACAAATAAATTTTATTCTTTTATTTTTATTCTCCTGATATATATAACCTGAACTAATTTAGAAGTTTGTTAAATGTTAATAAGCTGTGAAGCAGGTTTTTTTAAGCTTTTGTTCTTCATTATAATATCAGAACAGCTGTATCTCTCTCTAACCCCAGCATATCAAAATGAATTACAATTTAGAAACTAAAAACATGTTCATTGTAGTAGAGATATATTCAAGCCATTGAATGTATGAAATCAATTTTTAATGCATTTTTGAATAATTTAATAGATGGGACAAAAAGAATGTTGTGTCATTTCATTGACATTCATTTCATACATATAGGCCCATATATTGTGTATGCCCAGTTTCATTATTTATTTTGGTGTGTGTGTGTAAACATTGTCTTAGTAGACAATCGAAAACTAGCTGCAGTGCTGAACTATTGAATTGGTAATTTGCAGACTTGTGCCATCTTCCATTGATCCTCATTGATCTATTTTGTGTGAAAGGCCTATATGTGTGCATGTAATTCCTTTATTCTGAGAGCATGAATCTTTCAGTCGATCTGTTATGGGGGATTCGAGGAGGGCGGGGGCAGTGCAAGCTGTTGATGTCGCAAGGCCTCGAAAATCATCAATACCTGTGCATTGTATTCCTCAATATGCATCTGCTATTCCGTTTGATGCCGATGCTCTCAGTTGGTGCTCATTTGGTCAGCTGACGTGGCTAGCCGGCCATCCTATGATGAATAGGAGGGGTGCAGGACAAGGCCAGAGTTGGGGTTGACTCCCCAACGGCCTTCACGGCAGACGGGACACATGCTCTCCACTGTGCATCTGTCGATAGCACTGCACTGTACTGCACGGTCCATCTGCATTATTGACAGCTCTCTGCAACATAGAGAAAATGTGTGGTTTTGTGGTAAGTGGAAGAATTGAGGGTCACACTGTCTGTTTGGGTGTTTAGTTCATATTTTGGGCATTCAGCAAAGTAGCTAATAAATGTTTTATTAGGCTGAAAGCTAACTGCTGTTAAACCTTATTCCAAGTTTTTGCAACCATTCACATACATCCACACATGTGTATAAAAAAAGTTAAAGTGAAATTAAAAGTAGTAGTTGATGAAAAATTACCAAAAATACTCATTTAAAATTTTTTAATGAAATATATTATATTTTCCAAAACATGTTTTATTTTAAAACTAAGAGAAAATCAAAAGTCGTGTTCCAAATTTGAGGTTGATATCTCAAAAGCTGAGCTTTCTGTAAGATTTCATTTTAATGCAGTACCAGACATTTCCACTAGATGAAATTCATTTCCTATCTGTTTCCAATGCGATCTAAACTTTTCTTGTGTTCATATAGCAAGCGCTAAAAGCTTTACCAAGTTTTACACCTTTCCAATGAAAATTTTAAATAATAATAATAATTTAGAAAAATAATGTAATTTTTTTGGTAAAAAAAAAACAAAAAAACTTTATTGTAAGTACTTAGTGAAAAAGGCGTAGGTTCTTAAACCATATCGCAAATGTTTGGTGATGATTTCTTTTTTTAATCTTTATTTCGGTTTTTGTCATTTCAGTATTTCAACTGATACTTATTTAAAATTTAAGTTTCATAAAATACCTAGTTTAGGTTTTTCATCTTGTATGTATTTATATAGTCTATTTATTTTATTTTTTATTTTACTTAACGAAAATAGTTTTTAATAGTTTTACTTTT